CGCTTGAACCAAATTGTGGAACAACTCTTGCGCGCAGCGTGCAAGGACGACATTAACAAGTGGGACTTGCACTTGCCGGTGTTGGAGTTCGCCTACAATAATGCGAAGCATGCCGCAACAGGAGAGACCCAATTTTTCCTCTGTTACGGACGACATCCACTAACTCCACAACAGCCGACAGTACCTGCAACTGTCCAACCCGCGCACGACTTCGTTACCACAATGCAGCAGCTTTGGGATCGGACACACAAGCGTCTACAGGACATACATTCTTCACAGAAACGCTTGGCCGATCGCCATCGACGTGATCATACCATTGCGGTTGGTGACCATGTGCTTCTCGACACATGCAACCTCAACCTCGGTCACCTTCCATCCGAGTTACGACCTCGCTTCTGCGGACCTTTCATCGTAGAAGAGCAGGTCACTCCAGTCACATTCCGCTTGCGCCTACCAGCTTCTTGGAAGATTCATAACGCCTTCCACGTGCAGCTTCTTAAACCCTATCAAGATCCAAATAAGCTGTACACGGGACGCCAACCATGGCCGCCGCCTCCAGTCCTCGTGAATGATGAACTTGAGTACGAGGTTGAATTTGTGCTTACACATCGTCGTCGTCGGCACGGTGCCCTGGAGTTTCTCGTACGCTGGAAAGGCTATGATCCTTCTGAGGACAGCTGGGTCTCTGAAGAAGACATGAGTAACGCCCGACGTTCTCTCCGCGACTATCTTGTCAAGCAGGGTGTTACATCTACCACCCAGCTTTGAGGGGGGGAAGTGTGAGAGTACGCCGACGTTCTACATATTTCTCATTTCCACTCCATCTTATTCTCCTTATTTTCCTCTTTCATTTGCACTTTATTTCACCTCAATCGGACTACTATTCTATTTTATAGAGCTTTCCGATTATTTCACTTATTTGGTATTTTCGGCACCGACAGCACCGACAGTGGTGTACAAGGCGTAATCTCGCCATAATCCGAAGTGCCAATGGGATTGCGTGCTTATGCGCACTTGTGATTATCTATTCTAGAAGAGCGCGTTCCCGAAGGTTCGGATTATCTGTTGTTTCTATGTATTTCTGAGTATAAATATGCCTTGTACTCACCTTTAGTGCAACATTCTCGAGTGGAAATTCGATCCTGTGACACGTACGCTGCGCATCAGCTCAACCTCTGGCCCCGTGTCTCCTTGCCGGAGACCTCGCCCACATTGCCTTGGACGGGGGAGGTTGGCGATGCGTCGGTGTTCCAAGTCTGGGGCTCTCGTGCAATTGTTCGCGATACGTCCGCGGACAAGTTCTCCACTTGTGCTATCCCCTGCGTCTTCCTTGGCTTTCCCCCTGACGCGCCTGGCTGGCAGTTTTACCACCCCACCTCGCGCCGTGTCTTCCCCTCTCACGACGTCACGTTTGACGAGTCGGTTCCCTTTTACCGTCTCTTCCCCTACCACTGTGCCCCTCCCCCGCCCCCGCCGCTCTTCCTTGCTCCCGGTCCCCCTCCGGTAGGCCCCCTCCCGCCCCAGGGTCCTGCTCCCTCAGGTGTGTCTCAGGTAGACCCTCTCCCTGGTACTGTGCCTGTTGAGATAGCTGGCGACTCAGGTGCTGCTCGAGGTACTGCGTCTGGGGGTGCTGCGTCTGGGGGTGCGGAGCCTGGGGGCACTGAGTTTGAGGATGCTGGGTCTGGGGGTGCTGAGCCTGGGGGTGCGGAGCCTGGGGGTGCTGAGCCTGCGGGTGTGGAGCCTGGGGGTGCTGAGCCTGAGGGTGTTGAGCCTAAGGGTGCTGAGTCTGAGGGTGCGGAGTCTGGGGGTACTGAGCCTCGGGGTGCTGCTTCGTCTGGAGGTCCTGCTGGTGCTTCGCCGCGACTGTCTCCCCGACCGGAGCCTCTCTCCCCGTAGCAGCTGCGTGAGTGGCTTGTTCGGCGCGCACGCCTTCGGAGTGGAGCTGCCGGAGCTGGAGACACTGGAGACACTGGAGCTGGAGGTGCTGGAGTTCCTGCTGGAGCTGGTGGTACTGGAGGTACTGCGGGTGCTGGTCCTGGAGGTGCTCGTACCAGGGGCACTTGAGCTGCCGTGACTGGTGGTGTTGGGGGCGCTGGAGCTGGAGACCCTACGGAGCCTGGAGCTGCTCGTGCTGGAGGCGCTGGAGCTGGAGGCACTGGCACTGGTGGCGCTGGAGGTGGAGGAGCTGGAGGTGGCAGCACTGGCGCGGGAGGCGCTGGAGATGGAGGAGCTGGAGCTGTTGACCCTGGAGCTGGAGGTGCTGGAGCTGGGGGTGTTGTTTCTGGCGGTACTAGTGCTGGAGGCACTGTGCGGCCGCGACCGTACTTCGTTCCCCTGCTTCAGCAGGTTCTTGGTGTCCCGTCTTCCACTAGCCTTACTCCTCTCCTGCTGTGTCCACCGCCTGACCAGTCGCAGCCGCCGTTACAGCCAGCCTCCCCACTGCCTGCTCCTTCTCCTTACACTGAGCACTCCGGCGGTCTTACAGAGCGTCGTGAGCCTGCGTCTCGTCCTGTCTTGCCTGTTCGCACTGCTAGTCGCGTTCCTCGTTCGCGTCCTCCTCCTGTCCCAGGCACGCACGCTATGGCACTTCGTCCTTCCTCTGTTCCACTGCGTGTTCCTCTGCCGCCTCCTCCTGAGTCCTCTCTTCCTGCCCTCCCTGACCCTGAGTCTGACCTTGCTCATGCTGCAAGTCCCACCTTCTCTCGTCTCCTCGCCACTGTTGTCATTGACCCTTCTTTTGAGTCCAGTGCTGCGTCTGTCAGAATGTTATGTTTTGTCTAGCCTGCAGTGGGGTACTCAATAGTGAGTACAGCCCAATTTAGGGTTTGCTATATGTACTCAACTGCTTGCTAGTGAAACCCCCTCTTTCTCTCTTTCTCATTCCTAACTTCTTTTGGTTTCTAACATGGTATCAGAGCAGGTCGACCCCCTCGGGTCGATCCTGTGTATGGGCCCACCCAACACTTCCGCTGCTGCTACTCTGTCTATCGCGCGCCTCGGGCGCGCGCTGCCTTCTTGCCTGCCGCGCGCCCATGGCGCGCGGCCATTTTTCTTCCCGCCGCGCGCTCGAGGCGCGCGGCGGTTTTCTGACCGTCGCGCCGCCCTGGGGGCCGCGCGACGCCCTTATCTGCCCGTCGTGCGCCCCGTGGCGCGCGGCGGTGCCCTGCCCGTCGCGCGCCCCGGGGCGCACGGCGGTTTCGTCGCCCGGGGGGGCTCGTGCGCGGCCCCCCCTCGTCGCCCGTCGCGGCCCCAATTCCCGTCGCCCGTCGCGGCGCCCGGGGGGGGGCCGCGCGCGGCCCCCCCCAGGGTCGCCTCGACCGGCGACAGGAGGGGCGACTGAAGGGGGGGGCCGCGCGTCGGTCCCTCCCGTCGTCGTCCCGGCCCTGCCCCGTCCCGGACCTGCCCCGGCCCCGACCCTGTCCCGGCCCTGCCCCGGCCCCGTCGCGGCCCCGTCCCGGACCTGCCCCGGCCCCGACCCTGTCCCGGCCCTGCCCCGGCCCCGTAGCGGCCCCGTCCCGGACCTGCCCCAACCCTGCCCCCCGCCTTTTCCCGTCGCCCGTCGCGGCGCCCGGGGGGGGGGCCGCGGGGGGGGGGGGGGGGCGCGCTTCGCCCCTCCCGTCTTCGTCGCGGCCCTGCCCAACTGCCGCCCCTGCTGCTGCCCTGCCCTGTGTTGGGGTTTGGGGGTGGCGAGTGTGGGGGTGACGAATGTGAGTGGTCTCCCCTACTCCTCCTCCTCCGTCTCCCACTGCTGCAGCTGCCGCTGAGGGGGGTGGGTGTGTGGGAGCCTATGGAGTGGTGCTAGGGGGTGGAGTATGAGTAGTGCTAGAGGTGCAGCAGGGGGTGTGTGAAAGGGGGGTGAGACAGTTAGAGGATGTTGGGCGGAGGCAGCTGTCGTGTCGCCAGCAGCGCTAGTAGTCCGGAGGCTACAATCTCCGATAGCCCAGCGAGCCTGCTGCGCCAGTCGCCCGTGGGTCCGTTGCTCCTGCAGCTCAGAGTTAGTCGCGGAGCCAGTTACTCCAGTAGTCCGGAGGCTACAATCTCCGGTAGCCACAGTGCGCGCCGCTCCTGTTGCCCGTGTGTCTGCAGCTTCACCTGTCGTCTCCTATCTCTTCTCCTCTCACAGTCCCTCCTCCTCCTCACTTACCATCTGTGACTGCCTCTAGCTTTGCTTATATTTGTGAACTATAAACTGCTACTTCTTGTACTTGTGCTCAGAATGTGTGGTGACTTTGTGATCCACCCTGAGCTTGTTTTGCTTTGCTTGTTGTGCTGATTACACCCCACTTTGGCTATGGGGGTGTGTCAGAATGTTATGTTTTGTCTAGCCTGCAGTGGGGTACTCAATAGTGAGTACAGCCCAATTTAGGGTTTGCTATATGTACTCAACTGCTTGCTAGTGAAACCCCCTCTTTCTCTCTTTCTCATTCCTAACTTCCTCAGGTTTCTAACAGCGTCTGCCCTCGTTGCTGAGCTGTTTGACTTTGCCGCTGCCTATCGTCTAGACTACGTCACTGCTCTTGTTGCTGAGTTTGAGTCTGCCAGTCCTCCGTCCGTCGGGGGTGAGTGTGCTCTTGGCACGGACGTCCTTGAAGACAGGCAGGAGGACTTTGAGTGTCTTGCAGCTGCTGTACCTCGTTTCGCTTCCATGCTGCTTGCCCCTGAGGGAGACCCGGATGCACCTGACATCTCGACCCCGCGCTCTTACGCAGAGGCGATTACGGGTCCTTACTCCTCTCAGTGGCAGGCAGCCATGGATGCCGAGATGGCATCCTGGAAGTCCACATGCACCTACGTCGACGCAGTTCCCCCGTCTTGGGCGAACATAGTCGGTGGCATGTGGATTTTCAGGGTGAAGCAGCCGCCGGGTTCTCCGCCTGCCTTCAAGGCGCGTTATGTTGCTAGAGGCTTTAGTCAGCGATAGGGGTGCGTGTGCAGGGTAATTTGTTCTCAACAGGAGAATGCTCAAAAATACCCTGCAACAGCCTGGCCAGGTACCTTGAATGCTCCGTTTCACAGCAGCAGGTGTGCGTTTGGTTATCACGGACGGGGCATGCCCTTGGACTCCTGCTGCTGCTGCTACGGCACAGGTGAGAGGGCTATGACACGGGTGAGGGGGCTACGGCGCAGTTGTTACATGGTTACCACGGACAGAGCATGCCTTTGGACTCCTTCTGCTGCTGCTACGGCGGAGGGAAGGCCACAGCACAGGTTGCTTCATGGCTTTTAAGCACTGTGGTGGGGTGGGCTGGTGTGGGATGGGGTGGTATGGGGTGGGGTGGGTGTGGTGCTGCTACGCGGCACAGGGGAGACCCTGGTAGCTTCATAGGTAGCATAAGAGAGTTGATTTACGTGTGATTTGTCGTCCCATTTGTCCCACGCCTGTATGTGCTTTCTTTGTTTCTCTCTCTCACCCATACAGGGATCGAGTCCTTTGCAAAGCTTGGAGATTCGATTTACTTTGAGTCGCCAGTCAAGGACGGCCGGCGGAATAACTCCGACGGGCGGCGTGTCTTGTCTTCTTCTGCCACGTCAAAATCCTCCTCCGTTCCTCGCCTGTACGTGGCCCAGTTCGTCTCCAGCGTGCTGACGTGGCAGTCCGCACAGCTGGCGCTCCAGATGACTGCCACGTGGCCCTCCTCCATCCGGCCAATCCTGGAGGTCCAGCTGGCAGTGATTCCGTGGAATGGGGGGAACGAGGAGAGTCGTCAAACGGCAACAGGGAGAGCAGAGGGAGCAGAAGCAGAAGAGGCGGTATCAGGGGGAGGGGAGGGAGAGAGTGGACAGGCAGCGGGAAAAGGGATAGAGGAAGCAGTAGAAGGAGTGGCGGCAGCAGCAGGCAGTGTGGTAGCAAACGGTGCAGCGGAAGGCAGTGCGGTAGCAGACGGTGCAGCAGCAGAGGTGAATCTCCGGATTCCCTCCTGGGCGGCTGCTGCTGTTACCTCTTCTTCTGGTTCCACTCCACACTGCACTGCCACTCTCAATGGGGGCCGCCTACCCTGCCCCAAGCCAGGTATCCCCGAAACCAGATACCCTCCATTCAACCATGCGTCGTTCCCATTCTGCCACCGCTGCCCCTTCTGCCCCACCCACTGTACTGCCAGCCACCACTCGTTCCATTCCTCCTCTCGTTTGTGTTTTACTGCCACCCCCCCTTCCCTTCTTCCCCGTCTTTTGTCTTTAATGCAACCCCTGTTGCTGCCCATGTCTGTGCCGTCACTTTCTCTTTGCTGCTTTTTCTGTCTACTGACCCTTCTGTAAATCTGCAATCCCCGTCACTTCCAGGAAAGTTCCTGCGAGTGCGGAGGGAGTGGAGGGAGGGTGACGTCATCTCTCTCAACATCTCCTTCACGCTGCGTGCAGAGCGCATTCAAGGTGAGCTTCAAGTGTGCACCTCTTGAATTGATACCCACACGCCATCTCCCTTCTTCTGTCTTTCACCGCTGACAAGAGTGCAACGCGTTTGATTTGAAGCAGGGTTCTAGTGTGGCCCTGGTGAATATTCAGGCACAAAAAACCACGAATTCACAATGATCTTCACACAACCTCTCGTGCACCATTTATTGTCTTCACTCCATGTGTTACCCACTTGCTTGTATCCACTCCTATTCGCGACCAGTCAAACAGAACTCATCCGCCCTCCCCTGCTCTCCTCTGCTTCTCTCTCCCTCAGTCCTAGTGTCTGTCACCACCTTAACCTTTCTCCTCCCACGCCACAGATGACCGACCGTCCCCAGTGCGCCTCATATTGGTGCGGCTTTTGAGAATTCTCAAAAGTCCCCAGTACGCCTCATATTGGTGCGGCTTTTGAGAATTCTCAAAAGTCCCCAGTACGCCTCATATTGGTGCGAGTTTTTAGAATTCTCAAAAGTCCCCAGTACGACTCGCTCCACCTTGGCCTCTTCAGTCTTCACTTGCTAATCCACCCTCCATTTCCCTCCTCCCCGGTTGTCACCCCCGTCTCCTATTCTCCTCTCCCATGCCACAGACGACCGTCCCCAGTATGCCTGGCTCCACTCCTTCCTCCTCAGCCCTCGCCATCCTCTTGTGGGCAAACTGCTCATCCCACCCTCCCTTTCCCCCCCTAATGCTGCCCCCTTCCTGTTCCCTCCCCCTCCCTAATGCTGCCCCCTTCCTGTTCCCTCCCCCTCCCTAATGCTGCCCCCTTCCTGTTCCCTCCCCCTCCCTAATGCTGCCCACTTCCTGTTCCCTCCCCCTCCCTAATGCTGCCCACTTCCTGTTCCCTCCCCCTCCCTAATGCTGCCCACTTCCTGTTCCCTCCCCCTCCCTAATGCTGCCCACTTCCTGTTCCCTCCCCCTCCCTAATGCTGCCCCCTTCCTGTTCCCTCCCCCTCCCTAATGCTGCCCCCTTCCTGTTCCCTCCCCCTCCCTAATGCTGCCCCCTTCCTGTTCCCTCCCCCTCCCTAATGCTGCCCACTTCCTGTTCCCTCCCCCTCCCTAATGCTGCCCACTTCCTGTTCCCTCCCCCTCCCTAATGCTGCCCACTTCCTGTTCCCTCCCCCTCCCTAATGCTGCCCACTTCCTGTTCCCTCCCCCTCCCTAATGCTGCCCCCTTCCTGTTCCCTCCCCCTCCCTAATGCTGCCCCCTTCCTGTTCCCTCCCCCTCCCTAATGCTGCCCTCTTCCTGTTCCCTCCCCCTCCCTAATGCTGCCCCCTTCCTCTTGCCTCCTTCCCAAATGCGACAGACGACCATCCCCGGTACGCCTCGCTGCACTCCGTTCTCTCCGGCCCGCATCTCTTAGTCGGCCTAACAGACGGGAATCGCCAGCTCATTCTGGGCTTTCCGTGATCCCACCCTCCCGTCTACCCCATTTCTGTTGCTTCCATGCCACAGACGACCGCCCCCAATACGCCTCGCTCCACTCCATCCTCTTCGGTCCGCATCTGCTAGTCGGCCTAACAGACGGCGATCGCCAGCTCATTCCGGGCTTCGACCCGTCACACCCTGCCACGTGGATCCGGCCTGTGGACCCCGAGGTGCTCAACCGGCAGCTGATCTCCCTGTCGCTGTTCGCACCGCCACATCAGCCACCACATCAGCTGCCACGTCAGCAGAGACGGGACGGCAATGAGAGTGCCAGTAGCAGTGATGAGAACGCTGAGACGTATGTTGTCTGGCGACGGAGCAATGAGATGCAGCCAATGGCAGGTGGCACACGTGGCAATCCCTTAGTGGCTGGGCTGACAGGTGGCAGGCCAGGAGAGGGCACAGAGGAGGCCATGTCAGCAACGTTCAGAGTGAGAAGGCCGGTGGAAAGGAAGGGAGGGGACAATGGTTTGATTATGAAGGGAAGAGGTGAGGAGGAAGAGGCAGGCAATGGAGAACAGGGAGAGCGGTGGGAGCAAGGAGAGAAGGAGGATGAGGAGTGGCGGTGGGACAGTGGCGGTGTGGCTGCTCTGATTGGCCGGGAGATCTCTCTCGAGCCGCTGGAGATTCCTGGAAGCTTCCTGGCCGTGGACTGGTGCGGTGGGGGCAGTGGGGGGCGCACAGAGGGGGAGGGGGAGGGGGAGGGGGAGGTGGAGGTGGAGGTGGAGGTGGGTGAGGGAGCAGCAGCAGCAGCAGCAGCAGCAGCGTCAGGGTCAGGTGGAGAGACGCGGAGGGTGGTGTGGCAGACGAGGAGTGAGATGGACGCGTGCCGGACTGACATGCTGCAGGGAGGCAAGGCTGAGACGACTGGAGTGATCGGTGCATGCCAGGATGGGCGGGCTTCTGTCTTCCGAGACTGGAAGGGGTGAGGCTGGAAATGGCAGATTGCCCCGAGTGGGTCGTTTCTATGGACACTAGCAGCAGCCTTGGCAGTGGCAGCACGGCAGCCAGTCTGGTGGTTCAACTCGCAGGAAAACCATCCATTTCCTTGGCCCCTCCTCTCCCGCGTTCGTCTCCCGCGGTGCTCTTCTCGATCCATGAGGGCCTTGCCACAGGCAGTGCCATGAGCTTCATTGCGAGGGGAGCCTCTCGGGATTTCCTGCTGCAGCCCATCTCAGATCTCAGAGACGAGCGCTACACCTCCTACTTCAATGTAACTGCTGCTCCTCCACCTGCCCCGCCCTCGCCTCCCCCCTCTCCCCCTCCTTCGCCTCCTCCTCCCTCACGAGCCTCTCCTGCTCCATCTCCCTCATACTGAGGCCACTTCTCCTTCAGTGCGAGGGGAGCCTCGCGGGAATTCCTGCTGCTGCCCATATCGGAGCTGAGAGATGAGCGCTATACCTCCTACTTCAATGTCACCGCCGCCCCCCCACCCGCTCCGCCCTCTCCCCCTCCCTCTCCTCCCTCTCCTCCCTCTGCTGCTCCGGCCCCCTCGTACTGAAAGCAGCGCTTTCCCATTGCAGAGAGGGCCTCTCGGGATTTCCTGCTGCAGCCCATCTCAGAGCTGAGGGATGAGCGCTACACCTCCTACTTCAATGTCACTGCTGCTCCTCCACCTGCCCCGCCTTCTCCTCCTCCCTCTCCCCCTCCCTTCCCCAGCTCCATCCCCTTCGTACTGAAGGCGCCACTATGGCATCAGCAGGCTTTGCTGTAACTGCAGAGTGCAGACCAACAGCACCCAGAGCAATTCGTACGCGTAGGTAGCACCAATCAGTTTTTTAAGGCGACTTCTAAGCCGCCTCATAACTGCAGAGCAACAGCAACTGGGAAATTTGTTTCCTACCATGTCGAACCAAACAGCCTTTCACTTATCCCTCTCGGCTATCCTGCTTATTGGTTCCCACTTCTGCCTCTGGCTGTGTTTGTGTAAGTGACTTCTGTACCAATACGGCATGTGCTCCTTTTTAAAACATGTGAAAGGATTTCTGTGCAAAGAAGCAGTTTGGATGGTTACACTTGTATGTTAGTACCAATGCACAAATGTTAGTTCTGAGGAATCATCATCTTTCTTGTTTCCAATAAGAGCTGTTTGCACTAAACACTGCTGGAAGAAAGCCTTTTACATAGCCCCTATACTATACTACAACATGAAGCTGAGGCTTCAAACCACTTATTCCATCGAGAGTCTGTCAGATCGGTTAATAACAAGTCACCATAGAAAAGTTGGTCAATTTGTAGTGAGTCTCTTTGTAGCGAGTCACTTGGTAGTGAGGAAGGACTGAATGCGTTGAAGCAGCTCCGCCTTCACTGGTCCTGGCACAGATGCTGACGTCAGCACATGGCAGCACATGGCAGCACATGCAATCCAACACACGTGCAGGGCAGCATTTAGAGATCATCGGGTGTGTGGTGTGGATGGTTGCATTAGGTAAGTCCCTCCAGAAAAGTCGCTCACAAAGCCACTAAGAAATCTAGTCAGGGTGACACTCAGGATACCACCTACCGTACGGTAGATGCTTTGAAAGAGCCATTCTATTTAAACACATGTGGATGACGAGCAGAGAAAACCTAAGTTGCTCACACGAAGAGGATAACTAATAGAAGTTACGAAATCAAGCACACACACACCCCTGCCCTCCACACACCCCTGCCCACCACAATGCGCACGCCTAGTAAAGAGAAACGAGGCACACACCCGTCCTCCTTTCCACACGCACCTCGGCCTTTGGGTGTGATGGCCCGTATAAGCTCCTCCAATGAGACGTTTTCACGCCCAACCTTGCTCACATATGCTCTGATGGATGGCCGGACCACGAGACAAGAGAGGGAGAGAGAGGGTAAGGGTCTGTGGGGAGGCATGCATGCGTGCACACTGCGCAGCACTGCACCATCCACATGCCACACGGAAAAGCACAAATATCCGGCATAGAGGGAAACCATTGCCGATAGGCACCTCCAGACGACGTCTGCACATGAGTTAACCAAGCCAAACACCCACCCGGCTAAACACCCACCCGGCCAAACACCCACCCGGCTAAACACCCACCCGGCTAAACACCCACCCGGCTAAACACCCACCCGGCCAAACACCCACCCGGCCAAACACCCACCCGGCTAAACACCCACCCGGCCAAACACCCACCCGGCTAAACACCCACCCAGCACACCACCCTGGCCATCACCCACCCATCCACTAACTTACCTGGCGTAGACCAGAAGGTCGTCGGTCCACCCACAGTCCTCTAGTCTGTCCCTCAGCAGTGCCTTGAGCTGGGCATAGCACCCTCACACCCTGCCCACCACCCACCCACCGAGCCACCCACCCACCTGGCGTAGACCAGAAGGTCATCCGTCCACCCACACTCCTCCAGCCTGTCCTGCAACAACGCCTTTAGCAACGCCGGCACCCACCCGGTACAGCATCCACCCACCCACCCAGCAGGCCACCCACCTGGCGTAGACCAGAAGGTCATCCGCCCACCCACACTCCTCCAGCCTGTCCCTCAACAACGTTTTTAATCGCTCCTTCTCCCCACTCTCCAACAGCTGCGTGGGGCAGTAAGGAGGAGGGAGGCATACGGGAGGAGGAGGGAGGGAGGGATAGGTATGAGAGGTCGTACACCCTACCACTCTCCTCCAGCCCGTCTCTCAGCAGCGCCTTGAGTCGCTCCTTCTCCCGACTCTCTCCAAGAGCTGTGTGGGGGGGTAAGGGAGGAGGGAGGCATGAGGGAAGGAGGAGGGAGGCATGAGGGAAGGAGGAGGGAGCAAGAAGGGAGGGATCAAGAAGAGAGGGAAAGGGAGGAAGGTCGTCTGTCCACCCGCACTCTTCCAGCCTGTCTCTCGGCTCAAAGCCCGCGCCTTGAGACGCTCCTTCTCGCCACTCTCTCCAACAGCTGAGTGGGGCGGTAAGAGAGAAGGGAGGCATAAGGGAGGAACGGAGGGAGGCATAAGCAAGAGCGGAGGGAGGGATAAGGAGAAGGTAAGGAAGGAAGGTCATCAGCCCACCCTCACTCCTCCAGTCTGTCTCTCGGCAATGTCTTTAATCGCTCCTTATCCCCACTCTCCAATAGCTGTGTGGTCAGAGGAGAGGAGGGATGAGGGACGGGCGAGAGCGAAGAAGAAAGGGGGATTGTCAGTCGTCGGACTCTCTTTGTGACTCAATAACGAGGTTTCACCACACAGCCCGCTGCAGTCACACACCCCTCTGGAGTCGCACACCTCGCTAAAGTCCCACACCTCACACAGTCACACACCGTACCTTAGCGTCCACCACTTGTCGCAGCGACGTGGGCTCCCCTCCTCCCCCCACCCGCCCCTCTGGCTCCGGCGTTGGCGGGCGGTTCACAGACGACCGCCTGCAGTGTGGGGAGACGGGGGGAAGGGCAGGTGAGTTTGAACGGGGGTGAGGGGTACGGACGTGTTGGCAGGGGAGTGTTGGCAGGGGAGTGTTGGCAGGGGAGTGTTAATGGGATGGGGGAAAAGATGGGAAATGTTGGCCGGCGGGTGGTTCGCAGGTGACCGGCTGGTGCGGGGCAAGAAAAGGTGGATGGCCTGGGAAGGAGACTAAGGACGGGTAAGTAAGAGGTTAGGCATTAACGTTGGCACGCGCGGGAGACGAGAGTCTCGGACAGACAGCGAGGGTAGAATCGATTTTGAGCTGACTAAAAAAAGCAGCGAGTGTATAGGCGGCAGCAACGGCAGGCGAGGCGAATTAGGGTCCACTCACGACGCCATGCAACGGTGTGAAATAGGCTGCTGCTGCGATGCGGACAGAGCGGCAAGGCTGTGGCGCGAGGTTGGCGATTAAAAAAAGCGGGTCGCTGGGAAACGGAATGACGGGGAGTCGCGCGCGGAGAACGGAGACGATATGAACGGGCTAGGAATGCTGCTCTAGGACCAGTATTGATGAAAATACTAAGAACGCAAAACCTTCTTTCACTTTGTTGTGCCATTCACAAGGGGCTTGTTTGAGGCCATAAACATGGCGATTCAGCTTCCAGACAATGTTGGAAGGAACTCTCCTGGAAAGCCTTCAGGTCGGTCCATAAACACAGTCTCCTTGAGGTGTCCTTACAGGAATGCTGAAGAGGCGTCCATGGATTTGATCTCAAAGTCGTCTCGTGCGGCGACATCCAAGAGTGTGCGAACTGTGAGTGGTTTGGATGTGGGAGAAAAGGTTTTGAAGAAGTCAAAGTACTGCTGTTGAGTGAATCCCTTGGCCACATAGCGTGCTTTGAACACTGGGGCCTCGTCCGAAAGCTGCTTCATTCGAAACAGCCACCTGCCCCCAACGATGTTGACTCCTGGAGGTGGAGTTTCGTCGTCGAAAGAGTGGTTGCGAGTGAAGGCTTCACACTCAGCTTCCATGGCAGCACGCCACTCGGCAGCATGGGGGCCCGAAAGAGCCTCTTGGACGGTGAGAGGGATAGGGATAGGCGGGTTCTCCGAGAAGTTGAGTGAGGGTGATGCAGTGATGTCGGGGAAGATGTGTGAAAACTGGGGAATGACAGCGTGAAGATCACACAGCTCCTCATGCCTATCTTCCAAAAAGGTAGAGGGCACATCCCCTCCCGCAGGAGGAGTCGGAGTGATCACTGAGCATCGAATGGCAAGTGCCAGGGGAGGGACAGGCTAATGCGACCGAGTGCCATGAGCCACCAGAGAAGAGGGAGGAGCAGGCGTGCCCGGAGGGGACGGTTTAGGAGGCCTGGGCGGAGGGAGTGGCCGTCGCTGGTAAGTTATTAATTCGGGCGATGGTGGGAGAGCAGGTTCCTGAGGGATAGTGGGAACGGGGGGAGGAGGTGGGGCCGGAGGGTTCGACCGCCGATGGTATGTGATTGGTGCGCTTGGTAGTGGTGGCGCAGTTGGGAGAGTGGGGGAAGGGGGAGATGGGGGAGCAGCTACTGATGACACCGGTGAGGTCGGGTCAGAGACCTTTGAGGGAGATGGTGCGATGGCACGGGAGGTAGGGGGTGAGGGAGCTGGTGCAGGCGGGAGTGCAAGATGTGCATCAAAGTCAGCCCACACGAGAGAGGGTGGTCCGGAGGGGGGATCTTCCCCCGAGGTAGAGTAGAAGAGGCGGGTCTCATCAAAGACAACGTCACGGCTCCGGACTAACTGTTGAGTGGAGGGGTTGAGGAAGAGGTAGTCAGGGGAGTCGGCGTTGTGCCCAAGGTAGATGCATGTTTGAGTCTTGGGGCCGAGTTTGCCACCTTGCCGCCGACGATCCTGAAGGTTGAGGAGGACATAGGCGGTGCACCCCCAGACGCGAAGAGGGCGATCAGTGGGTGTTTTCCCGAGCCAGAGCGCGGAGTGGTATCGGGGAGATGCTGGTCGGGATAAAGATTGTAGAGGAGGGCGGCATGGTAGAGGGCGTACCCCCAAAGCGAGAGTGGTGCGTGGGAGTGGCTGAGGAGACAGCGAGTGATTTGTACCAATGTGTGATTACGACTCTCCGCTACGCCGTTTTGCTGCGGGCTCTCAGGAAGGGTGAAGTTTTGCAAAACGCCGAGGGAGGAGCAGAAGGTTTCAAGTTTGGTGTTGCAAAAAACACCACCACCATCCGAATGGAGGCACTTGACCTTGGTGCCAAAAGTGGTATGTGCCTGGTTAACCCATGCCATGATGGCCTCTGGAGCGTTAGCCTTAGTGTTGAGGAGGTGCATAGAGACGTAGCGAGTGTGGTCATCAACTATCAAAAGGAAGTAGCGATGGCCACCTCGTGCGGCAACCGGGGTAGGGCCCCAGACGTCCATGTGTTCTAGATCCAGTGGGGCTGCTGCTACTGAGGGTGATGCAGGGTGGGGCTGTTGGCGTAGCTTGCTCTTGGTACAGTCAAGGCACGTGGGAGCGGGTGAGTTAGGTGGTGGAGGAAGTGAGGTAGGCAGACTGGGAAGAAGCTTCTTGGAGGCGATGTCAGCAAGCGTGCGAAAGTTTGGGTGCCCGAGCGGATGGTGGTAGAGAATGGTCGGGTTAGAGAAACTGCGACATGAGCATGGTGTGATAGCAGTCTGTGCTTGAGTGGTTGACACCTGTGGGATCGGTACACGCAGCGTGTAGAGGCCGCTGCTGTTGAGGGTAAAGCGAGCTATGACTTTGTTGGTGAGTGGGTCGATGACGCCACAATAGTCCTCGTACTCTGAGATTATGGTGCGGAGCCCAGCCTTCTGAAGTTCTTGTTGAGCCAATAGTTTGTGGTGTAGTGAAGGCACGCACATGCCAGTGACAGTGCCGGATGGGAAGGCGGGGCATGGGACAGTGGACGAACCCTTGGCAAGAGTGGTGAAGCTCGAATCAGCTCCCAGGAGAGGAATTGGTGTAGAGTAGGGTTTGAAAGAGAATGTCTCCTTGAGCACAGTGTGAGTGGCCCCGCTGTCAAGTGTGAATTCCATGTATTGTGGTGCTTGTGATGAACCGATGTACTGCGAGTTTGCTTCATTAATCATGGTAGTGCCAGGGAACAGCAAGTTGATACGCACGTCAGCAGGAGCACTATCACTAGCACTAGCAGAAGCGGGATCCTGGACCTCAACTAGGTTGGCCTTACGAGAGCGCATCCAGTTTGGCGGCTTCTTGTGGACTCCGTGGATGGCATATCATTCGTCGTCTTTCTTCTTGAAGCACGTAGCGAGGGGGTGCTTAGTGCCACCACACACTTGTCCCTTGCGGTTGCCATATTTGACGACGTAGGTGCACGGAGGGAAGCGGTTGCGTTGGAAAGGTGCTGAGGCGACACTTGCTTGAGGCACGGGAGCACGGAGGGCGTAAGCCTTGGCTTGGGCCGTGGAGTCTTTCTCGGCAGAGAGGAGGGCGGAGGAGACCTTAGCAAATGTGAGGTCTTCCGCCGAGGATGTGAGGAGTATCTCCCTGGTGACTTCGTATGCCGAGGTGAGGCCAACAAGAAGGGCGGCTGCAGGAGCTTGTTCGGAGAAGACTATAACCAGCTGCTTGAGTTCGCCATGAATGGTCTGCACCTTGGCAATGTAATCGGCCATTCCCGAGCAATCCTCGAGGCGGACCTGGAACATGCTGGGGATGAGGATAGTAACTCCGACTGCCGTTTTGTTCATGAAGCGATCCTGGAGATACTTCCAGATGGCGTTGGAGGTGGTATAGTTGTGGAAAGTGTTGACAAGTTCGGGAGGGGTGGAGCCGATGAAGACGCTGATGATAGTAGCATCGGCCTTCTCCCATTTGCGGTGTTTGTTAGCAGCATCCTCGTACGCCCTCATGTCAGCATCACTTGCAGAATCGGTAGGCTCAATGGGGAGAGGGGGTTGTTTTCCTTTGCCACGGTTGAGAAGGACGTCTTTGAGTTTCAATCCCTGCACGTCACGACTCAACAGGTGCTTGTCAACCCCGTAGCTCCATGCATTGAAGTTGAAGCTAGAGCCGTCGGCTTCAAGGCGAAACGGGGTGATGGGGTTGCTGAGGGTGGATGAGGTGAAGGCCATGATGAGGACCCTTAAGGTCTCGCGCGAAGCGCTGTTTTTAAGTCACCGATAGGAACTTGGGGTTTAGGGTTTCCAAAGGAGAAATTGAAGAACTTGGGGTTTAGGGTTTACGAAAGAGAATTTTGAGGTTTAGGGTTTCCGAAGGAGAATTTGAGGGAAACGCCGATTTAGATCTGTCGACTAACTGCTAACCCTGGTCCCCCCCCTCCCGGCCCTATCCCTCAGCTTCGCGGCTTCGCTGCTACACGGCTGCTCGGCTGCACCTGTTTAGCTGCGGGGCGATAGAAGTGCCGTTGCGGGGCGACGGGCGTCTGCCCGTAGGTGACGCTGCAGGGCGATGGGCGGCAGCCCGATGAGAAGCTGCAGGGCGACAGGCGGCGGCCCGACGAGAAGCTGCAGGGCGACGGGCGACCGCCCGACGAGAAGCTTTATCGAAGTGCAAAAACCGATGCACCGTGATTGCGGAAAAGGTAGCACGAGAGAGAAACAGTCCACGGAAGATGTCGCGAATCACGGCGACGAAGACGGCACGGGAGAAATTCCGGCCGGGAAGATTAGGCCGATGACGACTCTTGACGTCGAGCGATGAATGTTGACGGCGGCTTTGCCTAGGAGTGCGGGAGAGGATTCCGCAAAGGTAATAGGATCAAGATCCGCGTGTGCGGTTGAAGAGCTCTGATACCATGTTAGAACTTGAGCTTAGAATCCATGCATTAGTAATGAGCTCAAGGCTCTTTAAGTACATCGGAAATGGGCAAGGTAAGGGTGGGGAGAGAATCAGGGGTAATCCTAGGGGATTGGGGGTAATCCTAAGGCAATCTTCAATTGGTGGGTTGGAGATCGCTTGGAGATCACATTTGGGTTTGGTTGGGATGTGGGTGTACACCCAACCAAACACAAAGTGCACACTACACTAGGATATAAAAGTGCAAGTACACAATGTGAGATTGAGGGCTCACGTCGCCTGAGCTGCTAGGTGTGTGTTATTAGAGGCTCACATTGGTGAGTGCATGGGCTTTTGAGGTGGCCATGAGGGTGGCTGTCTCCACCCCGCCTACAGCGCTCGCGAGCTGGCGCACCAGATGGTGGACGCAGGGGCCCGCATGGTCATCACCTCGCCAGAGCTGCTAGGTAGGTGCGACTTGGCTTGACTTGACTTGACTTGGCTTGGCTTGGCTTGGCTTGGCTTGGCTTGGCTTGGCTTGGCTTGGCTTGGCTTGGCTTGGCTTGGCTTGGCTTGGCTTGGCTTGGCTTGGCTTGGCTTGGCTTGGCTTGGCTTGACTTGACTTGGCTTGGCTTGGCTTGGCTTGGCTTGGCTTGACTTGACTTGACTTGGCTTGGCTTGGCTTGGCTTGGCTTGGCTTGGCTTGGCTTGGCTTGGCTTGGCTTGACTTGACTTGACTTGACTTGACTTGACTTGGCTTCGTTTGGACTGTTGGGTGCATGGATAATCATCAGCATTGGACTCCTCCCTTCCTTGTATCAGCTGGCGCACCAGATGATAGACGCGGGGGCCTGCATGAGTGTGTGCAACTTGGGCTGCTGGTTGGGTGGATGGTCATCATCCCTCTGAGACGTTTCTTGAGGCGCCCCTAGAAAATCACGTCGCCAGAGATGTTAGGAGCGTATGACTCTGCATCACTCGTGGGTAGCCTTGGGCTGCTGGTTGGGTGGATGGTCAGGTCAGGTAATCATCTCTGTGAGACGTTTCTTGAGGCGCCCCTAGAAAATCGCGTCGCTACCGCAGCTGCTATTGAGGCACCTAAATAATCCTCTGACACGTTTCTTGAGGTGCCTCTAGAAAATAACGTTCCTGCAGCTGCTAGGTGTGTCCGGCTTGGCTTGATAGGTACTGCTGGTTGCATGGATGGGTCATCATCCCTCTGAGTGTCCTGGGTGGGGTGTTTTTGCCAGAGCTGCTTGTTAGAGCGTGTGTGTACAGGTGATACTGTGCAATGTTCTGAAACGTCATGCCATGCCATGCATGATACATCTGCCGCAGCATCACGCACTCACACCCCACTGCCAACGCCCTCCCTCCATGATCCCTTCACCATCACCCTCCAGAGAAGGTGCATCACGTCAAGACAGGCCAGTCCATCGTCTTTGTCGTCATCAATAACGACAGCAGCAGCACTAACAGCAGCAGCAGCAACCCCCCTGGCACCATGAGCATTGACCGCTTGCTCCGTGCCAACGGGTCCAAGATCCGATCACAGCGACAACACCTCCACCGCACCCTTCAGCACCACCAACACCAACAGCAACAGCAGCAACCGCCCTCTCACACGGCACACAGAGCACCACCACCACCACCATCAGCAGCAGGATCAGCAGCAGCAGTGGTACCCTCCCAGCATGACACGTGCGCGCTGCCCTACTCCTCAGGCACAACGGGCGTGTCTAAAGGAGTCATGCTCACCCACCGCAACCTCATAGCTAACGTGCAGCAGCTGCTGGCAGGCACCAACCCGCGCCTGGACCTGTGTGCGGAGGACGTGGTGTTGGGGCTGCTGCCCATGTTCCACATCTATGCCATCACCCTCGTCAACCTCCTCTCCCTCCGTGGGGGGGCATGCGTTGTCACTCTCCCCAGGTATGCTGAGGTGCGACCTGCTGAAGTACCTGCAGTCGCTGCAGCACCACAAGGTGAAGGTGCCGCCCACAGTGCCAAGTCGTGAGGGTGTTCGAGGGCGACAGCACTGTTCCTTTTTCCCTGCTCACCCGCACCACCCGCCCCAGGTTCGACCTGGGTTTACACCAGTACCTGCAGACATTGCAGCAGCACGAGGTCACAGGGGCGCCAATCGTGCCGCCCATCATCCTCGCTATGACCAAACTGCCCCCTGTAACCTGTTGACTCCTTTGACTCGCTTGACCTCTTTTCCCTGTGCCAGGTCGTCACTCTCCTCCCCAGCCTGCAGTACCAGGGAGCGCTGGTGTGCGAGAATGGGAAGCTACAGAATTAAATTTAACTCAATGGTGTTGCCACCCTATTCACCCTCCCCACCCGCCCCAGGTTCGACCTGCACCAGTACCTGGGAACTCTGCAGGACTACAAAGTCACCGTCGCCCCCATCGTGCCGCCCATCATCCTCGCAATGGCCAAGCTGCCCCTCGTTGACTCCTTTGACCTCTCCTCCCTGCGCCGGGTCGTGTCGGGTGCGGCTCCTCTGGGGGCGGAGCTTGAGACTGCCTTTAGGGCGAAATTCCCCACTGTGCAGTTGGGGCAGGTGGGCATAGGTTGGGTGCAGCTGGGGCAGGTGGGCATTGAGTGGGTGCAGCTGGGGCAGGTGGGCATTGAGTGGGTGCAGCTGGGGCAGGTGGGTGCAGCTAGAGCAGGCATTTGTGAGAAGTAACCCATCGGGCCAAGCTGCCCCTCGTTGACTCCTTTGATCTCTCCTCCCTGTACCGAGTCGTGTCGGGCGCGGCGCAACTGGGGACAGAGCTTGAGGCCGCCTTCAGAGTGAAATTCCCCACTGTGCAGCTGGGGCAGGTGGGCATGTGGCAGGTGGGCATGGGGCAGGTGGGCATGGGGCAGGTGGGCATGGGGCAGGTGGGCATGGGGCAGGTAAGCTTGGGAAAGGTAGGCATGGCATGGGGGGTAGGTGCAGACTTCCCCTCTGGCCCCTCAGGGCTATGGTATGACAGAGGCCTTCTGCACTGTCTCCTCCTCACCCCGGTCCTCCCTTCCTCTAGTCTCTGGCTTCCCATTCACACTGTCCATTCTCTCGCAATCTCCCCTCCTGCCCCTCAGGGCTATGGTATGACAGAGGCCTTCTGCACTGTCTCCTCCTCACCCCGGTCCTCCCTTCCTCTAGTCTCTGGCTTCCCATTCACACTGTCCATTCTCTCGCAATCTCCCCTCCTGCCCCTCAGGGCTATGGTATGACAGAGGCCTTCTGCACTGTCTCCTCCTCACCCCGGTCCTCCCTTCCTCTAGTCTCTGGCTTCCCATTCACACTGTCCATTCTCTCGCAATCTCCCCTCCTGCCCCTCAGGGCTATGGTATGACAGAGGCCTTCTGCACTGTCTCCTCCTCACCCCGGTCCTCCCTTCCTCTAGTCTCTGGCTTCCCATTCACACTGTCCATTCTCTCGCAATCTCCCCTCCTGCCCCTCAGGGCTATGGCATGACAGAGGCCTCTCCCACTGTCACCGCCTCACGCCTATTCGCCCGCGTGCCTCGCCCGCCTGCTCCCGGGTCGTGTGGGTCGGTGCTGCCGCTGACAGAAGTCAAAGTGGTGCACATGAGCACGGGGGAGTTGCTGCCTCCGAATGAGCGAGGAGAGCTCTGGGTGCGAGGGCCACAGGTCATGAAAGGTGGGTGGGCACTGGCGTGTGAAGGTGTGGTTTCAGGTACCCCACCCGCCCGCCCGCTCCCGGGTCGTGTGGGTCGGTGCTGCCGCTGACGGAAGTCAAAGTGGTGCACACGGGCACGGGGGAGTCACTGTCTCCGAATGAGAGTGGAGCTCTGGGTGCGAGGGCCACAGGTCATGAAAGGTGGGCGTGTGCGTGGGTGGGTGTGGGGTGTGGGGTGGGTGTGTGTAGGTGTGTGGTTATGTGTGAGTGGGATACGTGGAAATTTGGGTGCAGGTCCTGAATGGTGTGATTCCTTAGCTCCCCAGGTTCAAACGTGAGTTTGTAACCGTCCATTACTCTTTTCCCTTTACCTCCACTGTGCACCCCTCTCCAACGCCTCACCTCCCTCCATTCGTCCATTCCCTTTTCAGCTCAAAGGCCATCTCAGTAAATCCTTTCTTCCAACCCCCTCCACTCTATCTCTTCTCCCCCCCATTCGCGATCCCTTCCATTGATCCCCACCATTCCGGTCCTCTCCATCCCAAAGGTTTTCTGAACAACCCCGAGGCCACGCTCACGCCTGACAGCTAGCTCCGCACAGGGGACGTGGCCGGACGTGGCCTATGTGGATGGCACGGTGAAGATCTACATGCCTCCTCTCCCAACTTACGCTCCCTTCCTCCCCGCCCTCCCTCTTCTTCCTTCCCCTCCACCCTTCTGCCCGCCTCTCCCCCCTCGAAACCCAAGGTGATCTGAACAATCCTGAGGCGACGGCAGCCACAATCACGCCTGACGACTGGCTGCGCACGGGTGATGTGGCATATGTGGATTGGGCGGAGGGAGATCTCATCCCTCTATTGATTCTTCGTTCCACTTTTCCCCTCCACCCTTTTGCTGCCTCTTCCAAAGGCTATTTGAACAATCCCGAGGCGACGGCAGCCACGATCACGCCAGACCGCTGGCTGCGCACGGGGGACGTGGCGTTTGTGGACAAGATGGGGGAGATCTTCGTGGTGGACCGGGTCAAGGAGCTCATCAAAGTCAAGGGCTTCCAGGTGGGGTGTGACTGTAGCGACATGTCTGCTGCACTATAGGAAAAATGTCTTCTCCCCGAACCGGCCTGGGTCCTCTGAAGTGTTTGCTGGCTGCAATGCAAGGCGTTTCTGACCTGTCCCTTTTTCTGGTTCCTTCTCCCCCAGGTGCCTCTTGCGGAGCTAGAGGGTCTGCTGATCGCCCATCCCGACATTGCCGATGCTGCAGTTGTTCCGTACGCCCCCATGCTCTCCCCTCGCTTGCTCTGCTTGCCGCTCTCTGTCGCACTAAGGCTTGCTCCTGTTCCTTATGTTCAAATATTTTTTTATATATGAACTATACTATTCCGTTTTTCTTTTCTTCTTCTTCTCCTTTCTGCGGCAGCTATCTTTCTTTGGTAGTATGGTGGTATCATGCCCTTGACTGTGTCATTTTGATCACGCCCTGAATTTCTTTTTCCCGTTCGGCCTTTCACAGTGCTCCAAGTGAAGAGAGTGGGGAGGTGCCAGTGGCGTTTGTTGTCTTACGTCAAGGTGGCGCTAAGTTGTCATTAAACGAGGTCAAGGATTTTATCAGCAAGCAGGTGAGTGTGATTGGTAAATGCACAGTACATGTTGCGTGTTCATGCAGGGATCTCACAAGGATAAGGATGTCATGTTATTTGGTTCTGATGCAGGTGGCGACCTATAAGAGGCTACATGATGTGATTTTCGTGGATGCAATTCCAAAGACGGCTTCTGGCAAGGTGTTGCGCAAGGACCTGAAGGCACGACTATGAAGGCTGCTTTGTACAGGCACAACTTGTGTGATTACTAGAGTATGCTTTGTTGGGCCATACATTTGTTTACCTGTACATGGTAAAAGCATATGCTCGTGTGCTACACTGGCGCACACTACGAAGACCCTGCTACAGGTTCTTTCTGAAGCCCCCGTGCAGAGGCAGGTCGTTTGAAAAGTGCTGGCGGGAAACCATTTTGTGGTCCCAAACGCGAGGAATCGCATGCCGAATCGCTAATTGCTGACGTGTACATTGGGATTGCGGAAACATCTAGGGCTCGCATCTAGCACGATTACAAATAGACGTCCAAACACGGGCGAAATCCACTGACACGTGAGGAAAGTTGACGGCCGCACTGACAATCGAACACCATGCGGTACACACGGTCCTCGCCAATTTCAATACCACCAATTTCACACCCCTGAGCAATCCTTTCTGGTTTACCCGAAACCGGGGGTCATTCGGAAATATTGGGCTTTAAGTAGAAAAATGTTCGAGACTACCCGCACGAGTCGGGAGGAAAACAAAAAAACATGGTCGCAGCGGAAGATCCAGTACTTGCGCTGCAGCAACTGAGGGCGTGTCACCTCGGGTGGCAACCAGCTGTTCGAATTCCAAAATTATGGGAGTTGGCGCTGGTATAATACGGTTTAAAAATCAAAAGGTTAAGTTAAGTACGGTGCTTGTTCGAACAAGCCACTTTGAACGTCCGAGGTGACACGCCCTGAGTGAGATTTTCACGCGATCGACACTAAACATTGTCACGAATAGCCTTTAGTTCCTGAATGTCTGGTCCCTAAAGTTCATAACGGTCAAAGGTAATTTCTGGAAATTCTCAGGGAGCGTGAAATTGGCTAGGACTCGGTGTAACAAATTCTAGTTTTGAACGGTTATCGTCAAATTCAAAGGCACCCTCGTCTGCTTCTGCTGATTCCTGTGCTCCTTTGAGGCGATCCCTGAGGTCGTTTTGTAGTGGCTGTTGGAGTTGCTGGTTAGTCATCATTTTAGCTCGGATTCATTAGCCTTCAGGGGTAGTGACTGCTTTTGATGCTTGTAAGGCTGACGCTATTAGAGCCCTTTTGACACGTGTTATGAAATACGCATTGCTTCTAGGTGAAGATTACGTGTCGCTAATTCTCGGGACCTGTTTGTAGCGGTCGTTTTCTCTTGGTACCGTTGCTGAAGCTGCACGTGACATCCCTAAAGCCTTAGTTGGAGAAGCTCTAGTGGCGGCTGCAACCAGCCATGCCTGGCACCGTGCGAATCACAGGTACGCATAGTTGCTGAGATAAGCTCATTCAGTAAACTGACTTTCTTTGGTGTCATTACTTTATCCTATGGCGTGCGAAGTCCGTTCACCCAGCATTCTTTGTTGACGCGGTAGCGTTACGTGAAATCATTAATGTTTTCCTCTTTCTTTTTTTATCTGTCGGGATTCTTCAGTGTTGGAGGTCGTCGATCTTCCAGGGCCGTCAGGTAGTCAATAGCTCTTATTCTGCTGATCCTTCGACTCTACCTCCGTCGTTCTTCTATCGAAAGCTTTGCGTCCTGTGTTCTTCCATCGAACTCTGTCTAACGCACTGCTTTGTGTGTCTCGACAACCCGAAACACCATTATAGGGAAGAAATATGCTATTCAAGGTGAGTTAAATTAGACACAGCTTTACACAAAGGTTTGCATTTGCTGGTCAGCTTCGGTGCTGATTGTTCATTTGAGATGTTGCAGTCTCCGTCGGAGCGCGATCATTTTCCACGGATGAGCAAGCGTCGACGTCCTCAGGATCAGGAACGTCATCCATCAAGGCTTTCAACTCAGATTTCGCTTTGTACGACACTCTGACACTTCCTGACTATTTCTTCCTCATCGCACATATTTCCGCGTCGACGGCCTGTTGATCTTCGTCCTCTCTGCATGTCTGAGAGCCCACGCTGTTCCTAATGCCATCTGAACGAAAACTGAGCTCATCTTTGCGTCTGTTCGCGGGGTCTTTTCGTACACGTCGCACATTGCCCATTCTGATGCAGTGCGGTGCTCAACCTCACTGATCCTGTGGTCTTCACACTCCTTGACGCCCGTGGTGTAGTTGTTTGCAAGACCTGTGAGTCCTTCCAGACCCACATTTTGCCATGATCCTCATTCCTAGGTCATGACATGTACAGGAGTTGCGACAGGTAGAGAAAACAGACGAAGCAAGTGTAACTTTGTTTTTCTTCATTTTTCCGCACTTTCTGTGGTCGTGCAGCTCTGTCTGTACCTTCCGTGGTGGAAAAGGGCTTTCGTGATGACATGCTTCCATGGAGCAACGGAGGCCAAGTCCATGTCAAGTCCAACTTCATGCTCAGTGATGAGGAACGAGCCAAGATTGCAGCTATGGTGAGTCACTACCAATACAAGCAGGTTATGTCCTTCACTGTAATCAGAAGTCACTAAACAACACTACATAGCGAGGTGCATGACGGAGCAATAAGGCCGTCTGCCAATGCAAGGAGCAAATTAAATATGTAGTCCTCTCCTCATCCATTACTCTGCAGTACCTTCCAGGAGAATCTGTTGCATCATTCCTTGTTGGTCTCAAGCAATCTCCATTACCCCCTCGCTTTGAATCGTGGCCTGTTAACAGCGTGCCAGGTCGATGAGCAAGCGCAAGGATGGCAGCAGCAGCAGCACTGTGACTCCCATCGCCAGTGGCACTGTCACACCCCGCACTGTCAGTGCCGTGCTCGCCTCTCCTGTTGCGTCCACTGCTCCAGCAGCCTCCGAGGCTTCAACAGCGACTGAAACAGCAGCAGCAAGCACCACAGAGGTGACTGCTGCCACTACAACAACGACGACCACCACCACCGTCACCACCAGCACAACTGCGACAACTGAAACCGCCGCAGCTGGTACCGTCACAGCGTTTACAGCGACCAGTACCGTTTCAGCTGCTGTCCAGAAGGAAAGCGCGGCTGTGACTACAGCGCTTGCAGGGAGTGCAGCTGCTGGGGCTCCTGTGGATATGTCCAATGTGATGCTGGTGTTTGATGGTAGCGATGACGAGTCTGGCTACACCGAGTCGTCGCTAGAAGAGTCTGTCAGTGCGCAGGTCGCTCCTGCTGCCCCAGCAGCACCTGTTGCTTCAGCTGCTATCCCTGCTGCTGCCGCGCCTGTGGTTTCCGCTGCTGTCCCTGATTCTGTTCCTGATGTTGCCGCGGCTTCGGTTTCTCAAGCTGCTCAGGCGGTGCAGGTTCAAGATCCTGACTCGATTGCACCAGCAACAGTGGAGGTGGTGAAAGAGGTGCAGAAGGAGGTTCAGGTCACATCAGCACAGGTGCGTGCAAATGCGTGTGTGCAGTTGTCATGGTTTGGCAGACGTGCTGCAGGCCGCATTGTCTGGGGTTGTGATACTTGTGCTGATTTTCTTTTGTCTGTAGCAAACCATTTCCCAGATGTGATTTTTAGGTCAACAGATTCGTTCTCTGTGTGTCCGTGTTTGTCACTGATCATGTGACCTGCAGCAAACGGCATCAGCGGCCACCACCAAGACTGACGTCACCGTCATCAAGACCGCCACGCAGGTCGCCAGTGAAGCAACAACCATGACATCAGCAAAGGTCGCCTCGGTCTCAACCTCAACCAAGGCCGTCGCCTCAGCAGCAGGGGCCTCCGTCCAGGCCGCTATGAGCAGCACGACAGGCAGGGCGAGCGAGCAGTCTAGCGTGCGTGGGGGCGGTGGGGTTGCAGCTGACCTCAATGGCCGTGATGGCAGCAGCAGCCGACAGCCAGCGGTGGCAGACAGTGAAGCCGCAGAGAGCAGCTGGGAGAGCGGGGATGAGGTGGAGAGCATGGAAGGGTCGTCGGTATCAGGAACGACAGACAGGCAGGTGGTTAAGAGGGGCAGGGGGGCGTCCGGCAAGGGGCGGAATCGCAATGGAGGGCTGCTGGGGCAGGTATTGCGGGTTGGCGATGGGCTCACGCCAGTGATGAAGCAGGTGCTGGGGACGGGAGCGTTCATGCTGGCTATGGTTGCACTCTGGCCGCGCCCACAGAAGCAGAGCCGAGTCCAGCTGGAGTGAGTCGCGTGATTTGCGTTCCACCAGGCATACCATGTTGCCGCGCATTTCGCACTGCAAGCAGGTCCTATTCCTGCAGGGCATGACATGTCACATTGACATTTCCTGACCACTGCTGCCCCCATTTTCTTTTGGAATTTCATGGCCTCACATCGCTTCTCTTTGCTAATCAACTGCATTCGTGCTGCTCAGAGTGAGCTGACTGAGTATCGATCGACCCCATCTACTTGCTAATGAACCTTTTCTCGATTGCACCCTGCTTGCTTTGCATGGACTTCTCATTTGCATATGGCTCTGGATGCTGATGGTCACTGGCATCGTTACTTGCACGCTTTGGCTTCTTCGAATCCCGATATTCAGAACTGATGCTGATGGCAAGTGAGTGGTTCACCATACCTTCCCTTCCCGCCACCACCCCCTCCCCCTCCCTCCCCCCGCACTGCCTTCCTCCCTTTTTCCCTCTTTAATTTCTCCCTAGTTCTCCCACTCTCTATTATGCATGCCCCTCCAATTCTGGCGATTTTTGCCATACGTATTCCCCTGCAGTATATCCTCCCACCTGTAAGACCTTATGTTTCCCCTGCCCCCTCCTAAATTTCAATCATTTCCTATCCCCTGCACTCCCTTGCGTACCACCCTCCCACGCCACGCACGTAGGGTGTGGGTGGTGAAGCCGGGCGAAACCCTCAGCTCTATCCTCCCGCGAGAAGTCTATTGCAATCCCTCCTCAAAGTTCTTTGAGCTCAACCCAGA